TACATTAATAAATGATGGTGTTAGTCGATCTGTCCTTTACATTAATAAATGATGGTCGAGCTGTCCTTTACATTAATAAATGATGGTCGATCTCCTTTACATTAATAAATGATGGTTGATCTGTCCTTTACATTAATAAATGATGGTCAATCTGTCCTTTACATTAATAAATGATGGTCGATCTGTCCTTTACATTAATAAATGATGGTTGATCTGTCCTTTACATTAATAAATGATGGTTGATCTGTCCTTCACATTAATAAATGATGGTTGATCTGTCCTTTACATTAATAAATGATGGTGTTAGTCGATCTGTCCTTTACATTAATAAATGATGGTCGAGCTGTCCTTTACATTAATAAATGATGGTCGAGCTGTCCTTTACATTAATAAATGATGGTCGAGCTGTCCTTTACATTAATAAATGATGGTCGAGCTGTCCTTTACATTAATAAATGATGGTCGAGCTGTCCTTTACATTAATAAATGATGGTCGAGCTGTCCTTTACATTAATAAATGATGGTTGATCTGTCCTTTACATTAATAAATGATGGTTGATCTGTCCTTTACATTAATAAATGATGGTTGATATGTCCTTTACATTAATAAATGATGGTCGATCTGTCCTTTACATTAATAAATGATGGTCGATCTGTCCTTTACATTAATAAATGATGGTCGATCTGTCCTTTACATTAATAAATGATGGTGTTAGTCGAGTGTTCCGCAGAGGGTTCTACATGGAACTCAAAAGGGTTCTAGCTAGAACCAAAAAGGGTTCTCCTATGGGGACCTGCGAAGAACCCTTTTGGAACCCTAAGAGTGTGGAGCAGAGCCTCCGGTGTCTGAAGGTGGATACACTAAAGCTGGGCCCTGGTCAACAGGAAAGCATTCTATAGCTGTGTTTAAGAAATAGACTCCCTCCCCCATAGGGTCTGGGTTGCACTGGGCTATGGCTCTGCACAACGTGATAACACAAGCCCCAGTCAGGACCCCCTCCTCTCCTCTCCACTGCAGGCTTTATTTAAAATGAGGCTAGGAGTTCAGTTAAGTTCAGCTCTGCAGCCTGGACAGACACCTCTCCTGAAATGGCCCCAAACTACAACCAAAACAAACTGCAAATGCATCCAACAAGTGTGTAGAGTCACAAGCTTGATGTAGTCATTGCGTGCTAGGAATATGGGACCACATACTAAACTTTTGACTACTTAATTTATAAGAATATTTAGGGGTGTCAATCATTTTGATCCCTACCTTTTTGAGAAAAATAAATATTACTTGTTAAACAAAATCTATTTCTCTGAGCGATTGTATTAGTATAAAACAATATAATTTCCCACTTTCTTGGAGCATACAATATAGCTCAGTATTTAAATGATTTATTATATAAAGTCATTATTTATCATCTTTATCAAGGGGGTCAATTATTTCAGACCCACTGAAACATAACCATTGTTTCCTCACATCTCTTTCTTTCTTTCTCTTTCTGTCTCTCTCCCTCTCCATCCCTCTCTCTCTCCATCCCTCTCTCTCTCTCTCACTCCCTCCCTCCCTCATCTCTCTCTCCCTCCCTCTCATCTCTTTCTCTCCCTCCCTCCCTCTCCATTCCTCTCCCCCCCCCCCTCTCTCTCTCTGAAAACAAACCTCTTGACTTCTCTACACACCACATGAACCTACATGAAGAGATGTAACAAGTCTCATAAGATGGTGTGGAGTAGTGGAGCCTTTAGGGACAAACTGAGCCAAGATAAGCCAGGGATAAGTTGGTCATCATATGGTCATCAGTCTATCTATTCATAATAACCTTTAATTGGGATGATATATTTTATACTACACCACATTTTCCAGCGCACTTCACTATGCACATTACCAAATGACTTAGTCATCCTATGGAGCTACAGAGAGAGAGAGCGAGAGAGAGACAGACAGAGAGAGAGAGAACAGAGAGAGAGAGCGAGAGAGAGAGAGAGACAGAGAGAGAGAGAGAGATGGAGAGAGAGAGAGAGAGAGAGAGAGAGAGATGGAGAGAGAGAGAGAGAGAGAGATGGAGAGAGAGAGAGAGAGAGAGAGAGAGAGAGAGAGAGAGAGAGAGGGAGAACAGAGAGAGAAAGAGAGAGAATACAGTGGCAGAGAGACTGCAGCTACACAAGTTCTCCCACCGACAGACACTGGCAACCTGGGTGTGTCTCAGCCATACACAGAATAATTAATTAATTAACTTATCTCTTTTAAACCACAGCACTCCCATTTGAGACAATCTCATCGCACAAACACCACCCATTTCAGATAACAATCGTAGCCTACATATCGATGACAAGCTACAATTATATTAGCGTTATAAAATGTGAATTATTGTGACACTGACTGCAAAAATCATAATGTTTTGCCCCTGCTGTGCGTAAAGTCTAATCAAACAATAAATAGCCCCGAACAATTCAATGCATAGACTGACATTATAAACACCTTATACTGGTGTCGTCTGAACTATTTTCAACAGATAAAACATAAGAAAAACTTGCTTGACATTTTCCCATAGAAAATGTAGTACATTATGTGACTAAGAGCAACATGTACAGCAGGCCTATAGATAAAGAGATCATTTAAACTTCATTTATCGACAGTGAACACCCAGCAGGTGCACACAGACAGCTTCCCCAGATGGAAATAGAACTTCTCCCGAGGATTCTGAATGACTTACCGCTTTGCTCCCCGAGAAAGACCAGTTTGAATTTTCTTAAGGGGTTCCCAAAGTCACTACCCACAGACATGTTTTTGGGGCGGATTTCTAAAAGAGTAGGAGAATGAAACGCTTGTTCCCCAGCGGTCCGGGGTTGTGGTGCTGATGATGCTGTAAACTGAAAAGCGACGCCTCAACCCGTTCAATCCGCTCTCTCAGCGATGGGAGTGCTACTGCACTGGATAGCCTGCTGTCCCTTTCAACGCCGATATGCGCATGTGCGGCTCTCTGTTTGTCTGCCGGCCCCTCCCTTTCTGCTCTGGCACCTGACGTCATGCGAAACGGAAGTAAAGGGAAAGCTTTCCCCTACTCTTTTTTTTTTTTACTCTTGTGCACTACATTTTATATTAGTTAGGTCATTAGCCCTACTCTGTTTGAAACCCCTTCCGTTACATCTTGCTCCAACTCTAGTACTTGAGTGACCCATGATGATTACACACAGACAGACAGACAGACAGACAGACAGACAGACAGACAGACAGACAGACAGACAGACAGACAGACAGACAGAGAAAGATAATCCCTTTTTCCCATTTCTTAACTTTTCCAACACAATATAACAATTTGTCAATATAAACAAACATTTTATTATTTACAGAAGTTACATTCATTTGTTGCTGCATATAAAAGGCACGTAAATTAAGACTATCTAAAACTGACCATATTGTATTGGCGTTCAATTTCAACAAGAGAACACATACTTAAACAGTGTAATTGATATTTGATGCATAGAATATTATTGTGATTAAAGCTGATGAGATATTGATCATATGATTATAAAATTACCATTCTGTGTATAAAACATAAATATCTCAAACAAAAACTCAGAGTCTCTATAATGTCACTCACCAAATGCCTCTGTGTTAGAGACAAAATATTAAGCTAGCTTTAACTTTTTGCCTTCTGCAACTAGAAACCTGAATTGACAACATCCCTGGGTTAACAGCAAGTATACAGTTTTCAATGTGCACCCAAAGACTACATGTTTCATCCTTCAAATGACCTACATCACCACCTTTCACTGCCACTGAACCCCTTTCCCCATGTGGGGATACTGAACCCCCTTTCCCCATGTGGGGATACTGAACCCCCTTCCCCATGTGGGGATAGTGAATCTCCTTCCCCATGTAGGGATAGTGAATCTCCTTCCCCATGTAGGGATAGTGAATCTCCTTCCCCATGTAGGGATAGTGAATCTCCTTCCCCATGTGGGGATAGTGAATCTCCTTCCCCATGTAGGGATAGTGAATCTCCTTCCCCATGTAGGGATAGTGAATCTCCTTCCCCATGTAGGGATAGTGAATCTCCTTCCCCATGTAGGGATAGTGAATCTCCTTCCCCATGTGGGGATAGTGAATCTCCTTCCCCATGTAGGGATAGTGAATCTCCTTCCCCATGTAGGGATAGTGAATCTCCTTCCCCATGTAGGGATAGTGAATCTCCTTCCCCATGTAGGGATAGTGAATCTCCTTCCCCATGTGGGGATAGTGAATCTCCTTCCCCATGTAGGGATAGTGAATCTCCTTCCCCATGTAGGGATAGTGAATCTCCTTCCCCATGTAGGGATAGTGAATCTCCTTCCCCATGTAGGGATACTGAATCTCCTTCCCCATGTAGGGATAGTGAATCTCCTTCCCCATGTGGGGATAGTGAATCTCCTTCCCCATGTGGGGATAGTGAATCTCCTTCCCCATGTGGGGATAGTGAATCTCCTTCCCCATGTAGGGATAGTGAATCTCCTTCCCCATGTAGGGATAGTGAATCTCCTTCCCCATGTGGGGATAGTGAATCTCCTTCCCCATGTAGGGATAGTGAATCTCCTTCCCCATGTGGGGATAGTGAATCTCCTTCCCCATGTAGGGATAGTGTAGGAGTCTAGGATAGTCAAAGGGTGCTATAGTGTCCTGAATGAGTGTTATAGTATCCATACCAGAGCTGGAGTGTCCTTCAGTGCTGAGGTTACTCCAACAGGAGGATCAGGTGGGGTTGAGAGTACTTTTAGCAGACCGTTGAAACAGTCTATGGTTGAAAGGCATAGTGGACCTCAGGACACCTGACATTGCCCACTGGTAGGGTGATAGGCGAGTCTCTTCTCTCATGTGAGACGGGTTAGGTGGATCAGGTGGGTAAAGGAGAGCTCATTCAGACAGAATACCTCTCAGCAGACTGTTGAAAGGAAGTAGTGGACCTGAGACTATTCTTTAAAGTGAGATGGGAGAGAGGGAGGAGGGGGGAGAGCCAGGCGGTCAGTTGTATCCCAGATCAGAGTGGTCCATCAGGCCTCTTCTCCAGGCTGTACTCCCTGGTCCTCTGGACCTTCCAGCCCACCACCCCCAGCAGGAAGATCCCCATCACCTTGAAGCCCATCTGCAGGCCCAGGTACCTTCAGAAATACGATAGGGCAGGAGGGTTAGAGCTAGTTTAGCATGACTCTATTTATCACATTCCCACCTGTAGGTTCAGGTACCTGCAGGGAAATCAATCAACCAATCAGTCAATCAATCCAGTCAACCAACCAATCACCAATCAACCAATAAATTAATAAATTAATCATTATAACTTGTCTAATTGAAGCATAACATTAGTTGTATAAAGTACTTTTTCTTACCTGTTCCTCAGTATGGTATTGTCATAGTAACCACAGCCCAGCCGGTTGCCACAGGCATGTTTCCACCAGATACAGGAGCTGTCGATGGCAATGCCGAACAGGGCTGGGGCTGGCAACCAGGCTAGAATAGAGAAGGACAGGGTCACATAATATATCAATCATATTATATACAGGAGCTGTGGATGGTCATGCCGAAGAGGGCTGGGGCTGGTAACCAGGCTAGAATAGAGAAGGACAGGATCACATAATATATCAATCATATTATATACAGGAGCTGTGGATGGTCATGCTGAACAGGGCTGGGTCTGGTAACCAGGCTAGAATAGAGAAGGACAGGATCACATAATATATAAATCATATTATATACAGGAGCTGTCGATGGCAATGCCGAACTGGGCTGGGGCTGGTAACCAGGCTGTTATAAAACAATAATATGAGGCCCCCCTTACACATAACTGTAAAGAGTTGTCATCCACTAGATACACATAACTGTAAACAGTTGTCATCCACTAGAGGGCACTCTAACACTACATTGACACAATAAAGACGGGTCATTACCAGGTGGGGTGGATTTGATATGGTATTATATTCCATTGTGTGTTGTTTTACAACATCTGTCTTTATGAAGTATACATCTAAAAAGGACACTTACCAAGCACTCTCAAGAGTAGGAACTGGACTCCTATGGCAAAAGATTTATCTTCATGGGGAACAGTTCTGAAACAATTCATGCAAAGTAAGATACAATACATTAAAAACAGATTTATAATGTTTTAGCCTAAATAGTCATGTCCATTGTTTTTGCTCTCTATGTGCTACTCATGAGGAGTATTCCACATCAAATTAAATTAAATGAACAATTAAATGAAATTACATTTTATCCAGCCATTATTTACCTGAGGACCATCATATAGATGGGGTTGTGTGTTAGGGAGGGAGGTTACCTGAGGACCATCATATAGATGGGGTTGTGTGTGAGGGAGGGAGGTTACCTGAGGACCATCATATAGATGGGGTTGTGTGTTAGGGAGGCGATCATTCCGGCCAGAGAGATGATGAACATGACAGGAAGCAGGAAGTGAGGACATTGGTTGGGGCAGGGTCCGGGGCGGGCAGTACGCTGGCTGTGACCTATACAGATGCAGTCCGTGTACTCCTACAGCAGGAGAACAGAGAAGACACCAGTGTCATTAAATAAAGATAGACAACATATACAGCAAATGTACAAATGACTTGTTTTCATTAAGACAAATGGCTAAATTGTGAACGATAGTTACCCTATATTGATTTGAAAGTACTGTGTACTTAATCAATGTATATTTACAAAACGAACTACAGTTAACATCTTGGTCTGAATTGAAGTCTAAATAATTCAACAGAATGGCCATGCGTTGAGTATTATGTACACTAAGTCAAGTCAATATAACTAAAACTATTAGCCTTGCCGCAGTCCTCCTGCCAGTGGATTACTCTCCTACTGTAACATCTATAAGTGGTTTAACTCCACTTAAAACACTTCCTGTGTCCCAGGGCTGATTACAGATCGATCGGACTGGCCCATTGATTGTTAACCATCCATATTGTGTAGCTGTACTGTACTGTAGGTAGATCCTGTGGCACACAGTCAGACACTTAGAGCTAGGTCTGGCTGGTTGCCCTGCTGACCAATACACTCTTCTCCCGCCTAGACTGGGGGAGTTTAATCAGTTCAAACGGTTGAAGATTTAGACCTTACAGATGTAGGATCTTAATTTGACCAGTTTCTCACAGCAGGAAAATACCAGGACATTGCCCTGCAGTAACAGGAAATGTGAATTATTGTGTGGATTATAATTATTGGACATTTCTGAAGGGGTTGATCTTTTTTTTTTCTTAGGGCAAATCAAGTCTGGAAACTTTAGAAGCCTTTTTCAACCTTGAGTACACTACAATCCGTGGAGGAAAAAGTACCCAATTGTCATACTTGAGTAAAAGTAAAGATACCTTAATAGAAAATGACTCAAGCGAAAGTCACCCAGTAAAATACTACTTGAGTAAAAGTCAAAAAGTATTTGGTTTTAAATATACTTAAGTATCAAACGTAAATGTAATTGCTCAAATATACTTAACTATCAAAAGTAAAAGTTTAAATAATTTCAAATTCCTTACATTAAGCAAACCAGACGGCACCATTTTCTTGTTTTCTTAATTTACAGATAGCCAGGGGCATGCTCCAACACTCAGACATAATTTACAAACGAAGCATGTGTTTAGTGAGTCCACCAGATCAGAGGCAGTAGGGATGACCAGGGATGTTCTCTTGATAAGTGTGTGAATTAGACAATTGTCCTGTCCTGCTAAGCATTCTAAATGTAACGAGTACTTTTGGGTGTCAGGGAAAATGTATGGAGTAAAAACTACATAAATTCCCTTATAAACGTAGTGAAGTTAAAAAGTTGTCAAAAATATAAATAGTAAAGTACAGATACCCCCCAAAAAACTACTTAAGTAGTACTTTAAAGTATTTTTACTTAAGTACTTTACACCACTGACTACACGTTTGCATTTCCTGATGTGCAGGGCATTTCCTGCAACAACAGGGTGATCAAATTAAGATCCTACATCTGTAACGGAGTGTTTTTTTTAACCATTTGTTCAATTATACCATACTGCTTCCCTAATTATTCACCATTATGATTTATCTATATAGAATCAAAGCAGATGAATGGGTCCTCGTCAGAAAGCCTGAGATTAAATGGCCACCTACCAGAACCCTGAATTTGTTCTTGGGGTCTTTGGTGTACTCTTTGCAGCCTGCATGGCATGGAGACAGGTACTCAGTGTTGTCAGATCCACACACTGGGTTAAAGGCGTTAGCAGGACAGGAGCAGTTGGAATAACAGGTAGCCAGAAACCTGTGGGTGGGGAGAAGATGTTTAGCAGAGAGTTAGGGTGTCACAATAGTTATACCCCCTTTTTTCACATTATTGTGCTGAAATGTGCTGAGCTAGCTCAGATGTTGTCTTTTCATATTGTCCTTCCCAGCACGGTTCCAGCAACTATGGTGGATGCCTAAGCAGACCAGATGAGTACAAGGCCAGCTAGGCTTGGCTCAGCTCAGTAGTGTGAAAATGCCATTTCCATGTTTATACAAGGGTTATGGGATCACAGCAGAACTCTGGGTGGAGGTAAATTAATCCGTAGAGCTCTGGGTGAGTTCATTTCATTTCATCAGCAGAGCTCTGTGTTGAGTTCAGTTCATCAGCAGAGCTCTGTGTTGAGTTCAGTTCATCAGCAGAGCTCTGTGTTGAGTTCAGTTCATCAGCAGAGCTCTGTGTTGAGTTCAGTTCATCAGCAGAGCTCTGTGTTGAGTTCAGTTCATCAGCAGAGCTCTGTGTTGAGTTCAGTTCATCAGCAGAGCTCTGGGTGGAGTTAAGTTCATAAGCAGAGCTCTGTGTTGAGTTAAGTTCATCAGCAGAGCTTTGTTTTGAGTTAAGTTCATCAGCAGAGCTCTGGGGGAGTTAAGTTCATCAGCAGAGTTCTGGGTGGAGTTAAGTTCATCAGCAGAGCTCTGGGTGGAGTTAAGTTCATCAGCAGAGCTTTGTTTTGAGTTAAGTTCATCAGCAGAGCTCTGGTTGGAGTTAAGCTCATCAGCAGAGCTCTGTGTTGAGTTAAGTTCATTAGCAGAGCTCTGGGGGAGTTAAGTTCATTAGCAGAGTTCTGGGGGAGTTAAGTTCATCAGCACAGTTCTGGGTGAGTTAAGTTTGACAGTAGAGCTCAGTGCCAAATCACATAACAGAAGACAAAAGAGATATGGGGTTATGGGGTAAAGGCCAGGGTTCCTGTTAATGTTATTTGTTGTTCATTAGCCTCTGTTTGGTATTGTACTGTAGTAACAACATTCCTAGTTGTTTGGGTTCACCAGTGGCACAGCGCCAAACAGTAGCCTTATCTTAGTGTCACAAGTGGCTAGTTATTTAACTACAAAGTTCACAAGGTTCCATATATTTGCTTGTGTGATATCAAAGGTAAGCTACATTAAGTTAATTATCCTCAAGACCTGACAATATTGTAAATGATGGGCTTGTGCAAGTATTTCACCAGACTCTTTCTTTATCCAATTAACTAAAATGCTTCTGTACTCTAGTCCTCATGACCTCCTTCAAAACCTTCAAAACATCAACTGTCAAACTACAGAGACAGTACCACACCATCCCCAAAATGACAAACAGACACATCAACAACAGCCCAATCAACCAGGGCTACATGGCCCAATCAACCAGGACATGACTCAATCAACCAGGGCTACATGGCCCAATCAACCAGGGCTACATGGCCCAATCAACCAGGGCTACATGGCCCAATCAACCAGGGCTACATGGCCCAATCAACCAGGGCTACATGGCCCAATCAACCAGGGCTACATGGCCCAATCAACCAGCACCTGGCCCAATCAACCAGCACCTGGCCCAATCAACCAGCACCTGGCCCAATCAACCAGGGCCACATGGCCCTATCAACCAGGACATGGCCCAACCTAGGGTGACCATACGTCCTCTTTTTCCCTGACATGTCCTCCTTTTGGACCTAAAAAAATGTGTCCTGCCGGGATATTATTTCAAAATCTCCCAAAATGTCCGGGATTCGGCTTTTGCTTTCTACAGTCGCCATTCATTGTGTGCGTTTTGCCTTGCTTTGACCTTTCTCTTTAGGTCCCGCCTTCTCACACGCCACCATTGGTCGGTCATGTAGGCCTACGCAAACATTGGTCAGACTGCATCTCAATCATTACCCTCGCCATGGGAACAGCCAAGAGACAGAGCAGCAGCTTGCTTGTCAACAGTGGCACATGGCTCCAGAACAGCGTAAAAATGGCCAAACGCAAATGTAAATTCACAGATGATTTACAGAGAAAATTCCCGTGTTTTCGTCTTGGTCGGGATCCGTGTGAAGCAGAATGCAAAGCTACGTGTCAGTGTCAAATAAAGGTGCTAGCGAACTAGAAGGCCACATAAGCTCTGCAAAACACAAAATTGCAGCTAAAGGAGAAAGTTCGTCAGGTAAATTAACTGACTGTTTTTGTGAGAGCAGGTAAAACAGAAGATGCTGTTACTGCTGCGGAGGGAGTTTTTGCATTCCACACCACGAAGCATCACAATAGCTACAGATCAATGGACTGCACGTCTGCCTTGTTAAAAAAGGCTTTCCCTGATTCCGAGACTGCGCGAAAATCTTCAAGCGCTCGTACTAAGACCGAAGCAATAGTTAACGCTGTGATAACACCACATTCTGTCGACATAGCTCTGAAAGCACTAGAAGAGATACCTTAGTGTGGGGTTTCTACTGATGGGAGCAATCGCGGTGCTGGGAAAATATTCCCTCTGCTTATTCAGTATTTTGATTGGAAGAATGGTGGCGCGCAAAGTAAATTAGTCGGAAGTTAAAAACACTCCAAACGAGACAGCTGATACGATCGCGCAATACATCAAAGAAACACTGGGAAATAATGGGATTTTTTCAAAATGTATTGCATTTACAGGTGACAACTTCAATACAATGTTCGGGGGAATCCGGCGAGATGAAGAAGGAAATGATGTTTTCGCAAACTTAAAGAAGTCATTGCAGAACAAGTATTTAATCGGCGTGGACTGCCCAGCACACGTCTTGAACAATTGTGTTCATTACGGGGCAGACACACTAGATGTCCATATTGAGAACATCATCTTCAAAATATGTCAATACTTTCACATCTACACTGTGCGCACAGAGAATCTGAAGGAGTACTGTGAATTTGTTGATGTTGAATACAGAAGTCTCCTTTCTCACAGCAAGACGCGATGGCTGTCATAATTCCCAGGTATTGAGAGGCTGCTACGGATGTTTCCAGCCTTGAAAGCATTATTTTTGTCACAGGAAAAAACACCCTCCTTGATCAATACGTTTTTTGAAGATGAGTTCAGTGAAATTTACCTCTGGCACATGCACTCACTCATGTGTGTTTCATTCACACATTCAGGAGATGGAAAGGGAGAGCAATTCAATTGTGGAAGTGAAGAACCTTTTTGAACAAAGTCCACACCATGCTTCTTGAACGCAAGACCAATAACTTCATGTCCCTTAAAGTTAAGGGACTATTGGCACAAAAGCACAATGATGGACTTGGTAAGAATTGTGACCATTTCATTGCTCAAGTACAGGGTCTGTACAGTTCATTACATTTACGTCATTTAGCAGACACTCTTATCCAGAGCGACTTACAAATTGGTGCATTCACCTTATAGCCAGTGGGATAACCACTTTTCAATGATTTTTTAGTTTTTTTTTTTGGGGGGGGGGGGGGGGGGGGGGGGGGGGGTAGAAAGATTACTTTATCCTATCCCAGGTATTCCTTAAAGAGTTCATGCCTGGAGTATCTGGAGAAATGGACGGCACCCACGGAGGTGTTCTCCTCTTTCATGAGGATGGATCTGAGTGAGACGCCTGACTAGAATGACATAGAAGCCAGTATCAAACACCTGGGAGAAAAGGGGGGTGCCAATTGATGATGCAAAGTGCATTGATCAGGTCACCAACCTGAAGAAATTCACAGAAAGGTGTAACAGCGATGGAGAGTTCAGTAATCTGCAAGCACACAAGAAGTGGACCAAATATTTTGAAAGGTCCAAAAGCATAGATTTTCATTCAGAGCTACTGAAGATTGCACAATTTTTCTTTGCTAAAAACTAAACTATTTTTATTTATTTGTTTGTTGTTATTCTATAGTTGAGGGCCAACAGTTGAATGGAAAGGATGTTTTACTTTATGTATTAAAGTTCAATAACATAGTTGCCTGGTTGTGAACGCATTTGTATTTACCACCCACTGCGGGTGTCCCTCTGCCCCCACTGTCCTCTTTTTTGAAAACTAAAATATGGTCACCCTAGCCCAACCAATCAGCGCCACACGGCCCAATCCACCAGGACACGGCCCAATCCACCAGGACACGGCCCAATCCACCAGGACACGGCCCAATCCACCAGGACACGGCCCAATCCACCAGGACATGGCCCAATCCACAAGGACACGGCCCAATCCACCAGGACACGGCCCAATCCACCAGGACACGGCCCAATTCACCAGGACACGGCCCAATTCACCAGGACACGGCCCAATCCACCAGGACACGGCCCAATCCACCAGGACACGGCCCAATCCACCAGGACACGGCCCAATCCACCAGGACACGGCCCAATCCACCAGGACACGGCCCAATCCACCAGGACACGGCCCAATCCACAAGGACACGGCCCAATCCACCAGGACACGGCCCAATCCACAAGGACACGGCCCAATCCACCAGGACACGGCCCAATCCACCAGGACATGGCCCAATCCACCAGGACACGGCCCAATCCACAAGGACATGGCCCAATCCACCAGGACATGGCCCAATCCACAAGGACACGACCCAATCCACCAGGACACGGCCCAATCCACCAGGACACGGCCCAATCCACCAGGACACGACCCAATCCACCAGGACACGACCCAATCCACCAGGACATGGCCCAATCCACCAGGACACGGCCCAATCCACCAGGACATGGCCCTATCCACCAGGACACGGCCCAATCCACCAGGACATGGCCCAATCCACCAGGACACGGCCCTATCAACCAGGACACGACCCAATCCACAAGGACATGACCCAATCCACCAGGACATGGCCCAATCCACCAGGACATGGCCCTATCAACCAGGACATGACCCAATCAGTCAGGACACGGCCCAATCCACCAGGACATGGCCCTATCAACCAGAACATGGCCCAATCCACCAGGACATGGCCCTATCAGTCAGGACACGGCCCTATCAACCAGGACACGACCCAATCCACAAGGACATGACCCAATCCACCAGGACACGGCCCAATCCACCAGGACATGGCCCTATCAACCAGGACATGACCCAATCAGTCAGGACACGGCCCAATCCACCAGGACATGGCCCTATCAACCAGAACATGGCCCAATCCACCAGGACATGGCCCTATCAGTCAGGACACGGCTCTCCAAAGATGTAGCTGTTTGGCAAAGATGCAGATCCCTTCTCTGACTCACCCATGGGGTGTGTAGTTGACCTTGGCCACCCTCTGTGTGGGACAGCCCATGAAGAAGAGGGGGATGAGGAGGAGGACAGAGATGGAGAGCATGGCGACGGAGAAACGAGGGATGGTCTTCAGAGAGAGACCTGTCCTCTTCATGATGACTCCACCCACCAGCATCCCCACGGCAACGGACGGAAGGTTCACCGCACCTGAGAGGGAAGACAAGATTTGAGAGCAGAACTGATATAAATACTTTCTCTACAGTATGTATCTGTATACTATCTCTTTGTATCTGTATAGTGTATATATCTCTACATACAGAACTACAAAGACAGAGATAGTATGAAAGAGTGCTTAGCGAGCTACAGAATTTGATTTGACTTAACTAAAAGATAAGATCAACTTTATTGTCTCAGGCATACAAACGCTAGCCCTGGTTGCCAGTCTCTGTTCAGCTATTACATTCCACTTGGCACATGACACAGTGTACAAGTAGTGGTCCTCTGTAGCTCAATTGGTAGAGCATGGCGCTTGTAACGCCAGGGTAGTGGGTTCGATCCCCGGGACCACCCATACGTAAAAATGTATGCGCACATGACTGTAAGTCGCTTTGGATAAAAGCATCTGCTAAATGGCATATTATTATTATTATTATTACAGAGACTAGTCCCCAGATCAGAGCTGTGTGGCGAGACACCATTTGCCCCAGTACTTTTTAATCTGGTATGGCGCCGCCACACCATTTTGAAAGCAGCAGCACCAAACGCGTTTATCAGACATTCATTAGTTCACGTCATAGAAAAACATAGAAAAACTTTGCAATGAAAAAAAAAAAAAAGCAGGCATCTCATATTGAAGAAGTTGACATAGTACCTCCCCCAATTTCAGCCCATTTGTTTTGTCTAGTGAATACAACCCTGAGCCTGGGATTTCACACGGTAAACCCCCCCCCCCCCCCCCCACGCTCGCTGTGACAGGTGGATTCACTTGTCAACCGCGCCTCTCAACAACTAGGTTTGGTTGCACCAGCACCTCGTTGTTTGACTCTGCACTCCTGGTTGCCTGTCTTATGAGAGCGAACACAACCTTTCATGGAAAACAAGGTAGCTAAAGGGCCTTCAGAAAGTATTCACACCCCTTGACTTTTTACACATTTTGTTGTGTTACAGCCTGAATTGTAAATGTAGATTTCTTTTGTCACTGGCCCATCAATTCAAAGTGTAATTATGTTTTCAAAATTAAAATGAAAAGCTGAAATGTCTTGAGTCAATAAGTATTCAAACTCTTTGCTATAGCAATCTAAATAATTTCAGGAGTAAAAGTCTGCATGGTGAAGTTATTAATTACACTTTGGATGGTGTATCAATACACCCAGTCACTACAAAGATACAGGCGTCCTTCCTAACTCAGTTGCCGGAGAGGAAGGAAACCCCTCAGAGATTTCACCATGAGGCCAATGGTGACTTTAAAACAGTTACAGAGTTTAATGGCTGTGATAGGAGTAAACTGAGGATGGATCAACAACATTGTAGTTACTCCACAATAATAACCTAATTGACAGAGTGAAAAGAAGGAAGCCTGTACAAAATCAAAATATTCCAAAACATGCATCCTGTTTGCAACAAGACGCTAAATTAATACTGCAAAAAATGTGGCAAAGCAATTAACTTTTTGTCCTGAATACAAAGTGTTGTGTTTGAGGCAAATCCAATAGAACACATTACTGAGTATCACTATCCATATTTTCAAGCATAGTGTTGGCTGCATCATGTTATGGGAATGCTTCTAAACGTTAACGACTGCAGAGCTTTTCAGGATAAAAAATAAACTGAATGGATCTAAGCACAGGCAAAATCCTAGAGGGAAACCTGGTTCAGTTTTCTCTCCAACAGACACTGGGAGATGAATTCACCTTTCAGCAGGACAATAACCTAAAACACAAGGACAAATCTACACTGGAGTTGCTTACCAAGAAAACATTGAATGTTCCTGAGTGGCCAAGTTAAAGTTTTGACTTAAATCTGCTTGGAAATCTACGGCAAAACTTGAAAATGGTTGTCTAGCAATAATCAACAACCAATAAAGACTTACCCAGAAAGACTCACAGCTATAATCGCTGCCAAAGGTGATTCAAACATTTATTGACTCAGGAGTGGAAAAACGTATGTAAATGAGACATTTCTGTATTTCATTTTCAATACATTTGCTCTAAAACTAGCTAGAATGATCCAATCTATAGCTCGCTAACAAAACTACTAGCGCTAGCTAGCTAGCTAGCTAGGTTGACGCAATCATGCAGCCAGCAGCTAACGTTAATAATTTAGACTCACTGAATAAATGTGTTTGGCACAGGATAAAGAAGATGAAACGATCTGCTGCTGCTGCTACCCAATGCCAAGGGATACTGAAGTTCCTGGAAAGGTTAGTCAGCCAGTTTGTTAGTCCAGTAATGTTGGCATGTTATTTCCACTGCTGGTGATTATTCACAAATGTTTGTCTACAATCTACAACTTCCGCCACAGAGCAGCCTACACAGACGATATGAACACATTGGTCCAACCATAACAGATGGATGGCTAATGGATGGATGGCTAATGGATGGATGGCTAATGGATGGATGGCTAATGGATGGATGGCTAATGGATGGATGGCTAATGGATGGATGGCTAATGGATGGATGGCTAATGGATGGATGGCTAATGGATGGATTCTAGCACCACCATAACTTTCACAAATACAGAAACAGGCAGCCATCACGGTGTCAGTCTTTTTCAACTAGCTAGTTCATAGTGACACCTACTGATATGAACTGGTAATGCAGGTTTGGGTAGAATAGAGTGCAACAGAATGAGTGACATTCAATAAAATCTACTTCATAAAAAGGGGGATATTATTTTCAATGAAAAAGTTGAAAGTAATTGATTTAATTATTGAATATATTGATTTTACAGGCAATCAGTACCTACAGTGTCAGTACCTACAGTGCCAGTGAACCAACCCGTGGTGGGCCAGATGGAGACCAGGACAACAACACAAGGTTAAAGTTTTTATGACTTACACATAAAACAACGTTGTTACAAAGTCTACTGTCTATAGTGTTAAATGTAACCCTGCCTTGTTACAGTCTGCTGTCTATAGTGTTAAATGTAACCCTGTCTTGTTACAGTCTACTGTCTATAGTGTTAAATGTAACCCTGTCTTGTTACAGTCTACTGTCTATAGTGTTAAATGTAACCCTGTCCCTTGTTACAGTCTACTGTCTATAGTGTTAAATGTAACCCTGCCTTGTTACAGTCTACTGTCTATAGTGTTAAATGTAACCCTGCCTTGTTACAGTCTATAGTGTTAAATGTAACCCTGCCTTGTTACAGTCTACTGTCTATAGTGTTAAATGTAACCCTGTCTTGTTACAGTCTACTGTCTATAGTGTTAAATGTAACCCTGTCCCTTGTTACAGTCTACAGTCTATAGTGTTAAATGTAACCCTGCCTTGTTACAGTCTACTGTCTATAGTGTTAAATGTAACCCTGCCTTGTTACAGTCTATAGTGTTAAATGTAACCCTGCCTTGTTACAGTCTACTGTCTATAGTGTTAAATGTAACCCTGCCTTGTTACAGTCTACTGTCTATAGTGTTAAATGTAACCCTGCCTTGTTACAGTCTACTGTTTATAGTGTTAAATGTAACCCTGCCTTGTTACAGTCTACTGTCTATAGTGTTAAATGTAACCCTGCCTTGTTACAGTCTACTGTCTATAGTGTTAAATGTAACCCTGCCTTGTTACAGTCTACTGTCTATAGTGTTAAATGTAACCCTGCCTTGTTACAGTCTACTGTCTATAGTGTTAAATGTAACCCTGCCTTGTTACAGTCTACTGTCTATAGTGTTAAATGTAACCCTGCCTTGTTACAGTCTACTGTCTATAGTGTTAAATGTAACCCTGCCTTGTTACAGTCTACTGTCTATAGTGTTAAATGTAACCCTGCCTTGTTACAGTCTACTGTCTATAGTGTTAAATGTAACCCTGCCTTGTTACAGTCTACTGTCTATAGTGTTAAATGTAACCCTGCCTTGTTACAGTCTACTGTCTATAGTGTTAAATGTAACCCTGCCTTGTTACAGTCTACTATCTATAGTGTTAAATGTAACCCTGCCTTGTTACAGTCTACTGTCTATAGTGTTAAATGTAACCCTGCCTTGTTACAGTCTACTGTCTATAGTGTTAAATGTAACCCTGCCTTGTTACAGTCTACTGTCTATAGTGTTAAATGTAACCCTGCCTTGTTACAGTCTACTGTCTATAGTGTTAAATGTAACCCTGCCTTGTTACAGTCTATAGTGTTAAATGTAACCCTGTCTTGTTACAGTCTACTGTCTATAGTGTTAAATGTAACCCTGTCCCTTGTTACAGTCTACTGTCTATAGTGTTAAATGTAACCCTGTCCCTTGTTACAGTCTACTGTCTATAGTGTTAAATGTAACCCTGCCTTGTTACAGTCTACTGTCTATAGTGTTAAATGTAACCCTGCCTTGTTACAGTCTACTGTCTATAGTGTTAAATGTAACCCTGCCTTGTTACAGTCTATAGTGTTAAATGTAACCCTGTCTTGTTACAGTCTACTGTCTATAGTGTTAAATGTAACCCTGTCTTGTTACAGTCTACTGTCTATAGTGTTAAATGTAACCCTGTCCCTTGTTACAGTCTACTGTCTATAGTGTTAAATGTAACCCTGCCTTGTTACAGTCTGTCTATAGTGTTAAATGTAACCCTGTCTTGTTACAGTCTACTGTCTATAGTGTTAAATGTAACCCTGCCTTGTTACAGTCTACTGTCTATAGTGTTAAATGTAACCCTGCCTTGTTACAGTCTATAGTGTTAAATGTAACCCTGTCTTGTTACAGTCTACTGTCTATAGTGTTAAATGTAACCCTGTCTTGTTACAAAGTCTACTGTCTATAGTGTTAAATGTAACCCTGTCTTGTTACAAAGTCTACTGTCTATAGTGTTAAATGTAACCCTGCCTTGTTACAGTCTACTGTCTATAGTGTTAAATGTAACCCTGCCTTGTTACAGTCTACTGTCTATAGTGTTAAATGTAACCCTGCCTTGTTACAGTCTACTGTCTATAGTGTTAAATGTAACCCTGCCTTGTTACAGTCTATAGTGTTAAATGTAACCCTGCCTTACATAAAGCTGACAGAATGAATCATTCCAGAAGAGCACTGTAATCAGATGAAACAAATAATAGGTTTTATGATATAGAATTCAAACACTTTTCTACATTGTGTGTGAGTGAAATGAATATTTAAAAGACATTGTAACCGTTGTTTGCGTAACGCTCAGCCCTGCTATAGCAGTTCAATAAACTCCAGAGTATGTTGTCCATGGAAGCGGTTGTCTCTCTGGCTCTTTAGATATCAGATTCAGAATGAATGTGGTAGTTTGAAGGGTTTGATCCACCTTAGGCCAGGAGCGTTTCCAATTCACATGACCTGACGAGAAAACCCCCCAGCCCTATAGTCATTGCACAGTAATGTAAAAAGGGGAAGCCATCTATAATAATAATATTTTGTAATAACCTACGAACAGGACCCAGAGTTTTACCCGACCAGGTCGGTCATGAGATCAGAAAAAAATTCCAGGCCCCCAGAAAAGTATGAATTTTGCCACACCACTTTTGAACCTGTGGTGCCATCTCCGACCCAGACTATACAAAGCGCTGCAGCTCCCACAGATGAATGCTTAGACAGGACTAGACACCAGAGATGATACAGTTTCAACGCTCACTCTCTACCAGCATCCTCACACAGCCTTTTCACACCATAACAGTTGTCATTCATCCACAACTACAGTGTGTTCATCTCTTCGATGTAAACCGTAATCAGAACAATCCCAAGTGAAGAACAGATATCTGTGTCTTCATCTCCGTGCCAACTGTAACCCATGCCAACTGTAACCCGTGCCAACTGCAACCCATGCCAACTGATCAATATCAGCTGTAGAGTAGGGTAAAGAGCTGGTAGGATCAGATACACCATAATGCATCTGTTCCACATAGATGCGGTAAAGGGGTCGATTGAATGCAGACCGTTCCATTGATCCGATTGGCGCACATTCAACAAATCTGATTTAACAAAGTGGAAATTCGTAAAATCTGTCATGACTGATGTATTGTCACAGGCCCACAATGTGGTTACTTAAGTCTGATGTGGGTATATTTGGCTGTTTTCGCTGCACAACATGTAGAAGTGGTCTCTTTTCAGGTTTAGAAGAACAGACTGCTAAACGCTAACTCCCGTTCATATAAGCTGGTTAGCATAGCTAGCATACAGAAATCGGCGGTGGTAGTCAGTCCTGTGGTCCTCTGTAGCTCAGCTGGTAGAGCACGGCGCTTGTAACGCCAGGGTAGTGGGTTCGATCCCCGGGACCACCCATACGTAAAAATGTATGCACACATGACTGTAAGTCGCTTTGGATAAAAGCGTCTGCTAAATGGCATATTATTATTATTATTATTTTTAATTGTAATGCAGTTGATTGGTAAACGATGACCTGAACATGTGTGGGGGTTGACATCCATCCATACAA